TGCTCATTCAGCGCTGAAGTTGCCGTTGAACATGCTAATCATCGAGACTCCTACGTGCAACATTTCCAGAGCATCTGGCATGGGAAAAGTATTGCAAAGATGTAAACTCATTGTTAGGAATGATTGCACAATGGCACACAAAAAATCGCTGGAGGCTCTCGATCGATCATTGCGAGATTTGCATGGAGCTGTCCAACCATTTGGGAATGCGTTAATATTGCTCGCAGGGGATTTCAGCCATACTTTGCCTGTGATTTCCCGATCGACACCAGCTGACGAGATAAATGCTTGCCTAAAATATTCTATATTGTGGCAACATGTACGTACATTACAGTTAAAGACGAATATGCGTGTCTAGTTACAGAACAATGACTCAGCCGACGTATTCTCACGACAGCTACTGAACACGGGGAACGGAAAGCTGCCAATCAATGAGACGCCGAGAAAAATAGTATTGCCCGAGAATTTCTGTAATTTAGTTACATCGAAGGAAGGACTTATCCAAAAAGTGTTCCCCGATATCCGAATAAATTATAGGAATCACGATTGGCTCAGTGGACAAGCGATTCTTGCTGTCAAGAACACAGATGTCTACCAGCTCAATCATGTAATTCAATCCAGCATAGAAACTGACGAAATTACATATAAGTCGATAGATACCGTTGTGGAGGCAGAGGAAGCAGTTAATTACCCTACGGAATTTCTAAACTCACATGATCTGCCTGGAATGCCACCACACATATTGAAATTAAAAATAGGTGTGCCGATTCTCATGCTCCGAAATATAAATCAGCCGAAACTCTGCAACGGTACGCGACTCGCAGTCAAGAAATTGATGAACAATGTAGTAGAAGCAACGATCATAACTGGTCCTTTCAAAGGTGAAGATGTCCTCATTCCTAACATTCCTCTGATCCCGACTGATACACCGTTTCAGTTCAAAAGATTGCAGTTTCCCATTCGTTTGGCGTTCGCAATGATCATTAATAAAGCTCAAGGTCAATCTCTGGAGTTGTGTGGTCTAGATTTGGATGCAGATTGTTTTTCACACGGATAATTATATGTTGCGTGTTCCCGTGTCGGAAAACCAGATAGTCTTTATATTTACACGGAGAATGGAGAAACGAAGAATATTGCATACCCACAAGTATTACAAAATTAAATGAATTTGACAATGATTCTTTTTTGTTTGACTTATTTCTTATGCGTGCAACCACAATATGCCACAGAGAAACGTGGCAGGGTACAGCTAGTTATAATATATAAATATATATATATCCCTTTTCATTGGGAAAAAGGGCTTGGGGACTTCTTTCAGTATTTATTTTTCAGATTTACCACTCCATCACTTAAAAGACACAATTCCATACCAAAGAAGGGCACATCTTCTGGTCAATGAAAGAAATGGTGGTGAGGGTGATCCATCCTCGAATTTGTGAAAGGATGGGGTGGTGGTGTGTGTGTGTGTGTGTGAGTGTGTGTGTGTGTAAGCATGTAATATCTCACAGGGAAAATCACACGCTCGTGGTGAGCGTCATTCATATGGTTGTACTTTGGTTATTCTATTTTCAAACATGTACCCTTCTTCAATTCCACCCCCGTCCCTTTTTTAAGTGAGGATTGTGGGTCAACGTCCACGTGCGTGAACGGGATCGATGCGGCTCAGGATCGCTGAGGTGCGACCTTTTCAATTGCCTCCCCCGTCCCTTTCTTTAAGTGAGGGGTCGTGGGAACGTACACGTGCGCTCCAGACCTTGTTGGGGCGCTTGAACACTTGTTCACAAGTTTCCTTTTACACACACTGACCCTAATTAATTGCATCTTTATTACCCCATCCATTGACAGGTTGACAGCTAACCCTCATTAATTGCATTTTTATTACTCAAAGCAATTACATTTTTTGACAGCTAACACATTAATTGCATTTTTATTACCCTTTTTGCCGACATCAAAGGTCCCGAAAATCTAGTTTTCTTACTACTAACAACATTTGAATTAGAGTAGTATAAATTGTTTATTGTTATGTTAGTTTCGTTATCGTTGTCCTCCGCTTGGCCGTATCCTGGGTCCGGGATTAGTGCAACATAAGCGCTGTGATCGAAGGGGAACGTACCCCATACATTTCTCTTGGAGCTCCAGCAGGAATTAAGGACCAAAGAGGGAATTGTGTTGTTGGTGGCCGATTGAGGCCAAATCATTGAGGCACTTCTCCTCCGGTAATTTTGGGTCCCCATAAGAGGCAGCCTTGGCGCGAGCGCATCCCTGGCTGAGGCCACGCTATCGCCGGGAGTGAAGTGATACCGTATTATAAAAAGAGCTGTAATATACTGAATAGCAATTAAATAAAAAAGTATAATGAGCAAAGAATAGAATCGTTTACCTGGGGGAGATGAGCCGGTCGCCAGACCGCCTGGAATAGGCTCCGGCCCACCGGAGATATGTGATACCCCTAGATGACCAGGAGGCATCACAGGATGGGTGGGTGCGTCGTGGCAGTTGTTGTTAGGTAGGAGTCTTGTCAGAGACGTCCCACTAGTCCGATATTTGATTGTGCGGACTGCGGGCGTTGGGTCGAACCCAGCCCTGAGCCTCATGAGCTAGCCCGGCGTTGCCCAAGAAAAGATGCAGTTGCAATAGATTCTTATTTTTCGGTAAATAATATTTTCTTCATTTCATGGCAGCATGGTAGCAGAATATTATGGATTCTGTTACTGAGTGAGGAGTGTTTGTTCACCGCAATCACATTTAAGAAAAGTTTATTGTATTACAATTTGTATTACTTTTTATCGAAATACTAAAAATGTTCAATTTAGGTATCTGGTAACGACATTACACTTTTCAGTATTTTTAAACCCTTGCAGGGTATAATAATCTCAGTCAGAAGTTTGCAACGCAGTGAAGGAGGCATATAAAATCTATATATTCTTGATCAGGATCAATAGCCGATCCGATCTAGCCATGTCCGTCTGACAGTCTGTCCGTTCATAAGCAAACTAGTGTCTCAGTTTTAAAACTATCTGAATGAAACTTTGTAGTTAGTCTTCTATATACTCTCACTCGTATATATGTATGTCGGAACGGCCCGGATCGGACGACTATATCATATAGCTGCCATAGGAATGTTTGGAAAATTAAAAAAAAAAATTATAACATTTTCAGTTTCCAACAGAATTTAAAAATCTCAAATTTGGGATATAGCCATTCTATATTATTTTTTTAGTTTTGTGTAAAATTTTATGAAACTCGGACTACTATATCATATAGCTCCCATAGGAACGATCGTAAGATATAGAGGAAACATGGATGTAAAACTGTAAATATAATATGTATAAGTGAATGAAATAAAAGCAGGTATTACTTCATTGTTGTTTAACATAAATAAATATAATTTATATTGTATTAATTCTTTGTCATTGAAGTTCTCTCAAGGGTATATAAGCTTCGGCGTGCCGAACTTAGCTTCCTATCTTGTTTTTTTTTTAATAAACTTAGAATTGTTACGACGTGCTCCCGAGGCGGGATTTTTCCCCAGGTGCCACCACAAATATCCAGCTGATTTAAAAAAGAAATCAAAACACTAAAAAACATGCACAACAAAAAATCTCCCCGATTCCGGATCTACGCGTTAATTGGAATAATCCCCCGGACACACCCGCAAGAACTTCTCACATTCTCATTAGATTGCCCTGGCATGCGTTGGTTGGGCTTTTCCACGTCACCAGCTCATATAATCTTCCCCATCGCCGCCTCCCCCAATGAGGAACAACTAGTAATTCATAATCGGTCTACAAATTTTAATAATCATACATATTTGGTTATACAATTTCAATTCAATTTCAAAGTCAACAAGAAAGGAAGCTAACTTCGGCACGCCGAAGTTTGTATACCCTTGCAGACAGAACTTCTATGACTAGGAATCCATACATTATAAATTATATATTTGTGTTAAAAAACAATGAAGTAATACCTGCTCTTATTTCATTTACCTATACATATTATATTTGCAGTTTTACAGTCACAGATTTGCATTTTTGCTCCACATCTAACGATCGTTTGTATGGCACCTATATGATATAGTCGTCCGATTTTCATAAAATTTGACAAAAAATTTAAAACTCATATAAAATGGCTATACCTCAAATTTGTTACGGAACTGCTTTCTTGGGCAACGCCGGGCTAGCTCAGGAGGCCCAGGGCTGGGTTCTACCCAATACCCGCAGTCCGCACAATAAAATATCGGACAATTCGGACTCTCATCACTGACAAAACTACCATCCCTAAACACAAAACAAAAGTAAACAAACGACAAATATACACTGACGACACTGCCGGAACAAATTGGTGGCATTGGTGTTATTGCCACAACGCACCCACCCATCCTGTGGTGCCTCCTGAGTATCTCGGGGCATCACCCATCTCCGGCGGACCGGAGCCTATTCCAGGCGGTCAGGCGACCGACCCATCTCCCCCAGGTATTGACTCTACTCCATTTTTATTTTTATTATTTATTTTATATAAACATTCCTTGTAATATTAATATTTCCCTTTCTAGGTGGTATACTCCACTCCCGGCGAGAGCGTGGCCCTAGCCATGGATGCGCTTGCGCCAAGGCTGCGCTGTTGGGGGACTTAAGAACTAGCGGAGGAGAAGCGCCTTAAACATTTGGCCTCAAACGGCCACAAAACAATTATTCCCTCTTTGGGGTCCCTAATCCCTGCTGGAGCTCCAATAGAAATGTAGGGACAGGGGTTCACGACAAAAAAAAACAAAAGGTCAAGGAAAAACAAGTACCGGCCTTCTTCCCCGTTCCCCCTTTGGTCACAGCTCCTGTGTTGCACCAATCCCGGACCCGGGATACGGCCAAGCGGAGAACAAAGACAACCTTACAAATACAAAGACACAAAATACGAAATAACCTATCCTAACCTAATTTAAATTTAAATTTAAATTTAATCCTTTAACCCCGGTAGGGCCCTCCTCCCGGAACGGACTCACCGGATTAGCCCTTGGCGGCACGGGCGGTGCTAAGGCGGGGCACTGGCGGCGGCGCTGCGGCTCTCAGCTCGGACGGCGCTGAAGTGGTGGCACAGGCGGTGCTAAGGCGGGGCACTGGCGGCGGCGCTGCGGCTCTCAGCTCGGACGGCGCTGAAGTGGTGTCACGGGCGGTGCTAAGGCGGGGCACTGGCGGCGGCACTGGGCAGCGCGGAGGCGGTGTCCACGGACCGCTGAACTGGCGACACTGACGGGGCTAAGGCGGCGGCGCGGCGGCTCTGGGCTCTCAGCTCGGGCGGCGGCACAGGGCGACGCGGAGGCGGTGTCCACGGAATGATACGCACGCACTCTCAGGCAGTCAACGGGTCAAGATTTTTTCTTCTTTTCCAAAAATAACCTCGCGCACGTTTTCTTCCCAATTTTTGACTCCTCGTTTTTTTCCTCCTGCACCTCCCTTTATTGCCTCCGTTCCCAAAGCTCCACGCCGTTACTTTTTTTAATTCCTCCTTGCCCTTCCGAGAGAAAGGGTAAGAAACCTTTCTCTTAAGCCGCTTTCAAAGTTCCCGGTTCGCTCAGCTTCCTCCTCCCCCCTGGGACCACCGATCCTGCCTCTCACTATCGATACATCGATAGCCTCTTCCCCTCCGAACTCCGAAATGCAACACCACCCAAGGATTTGGAGAGGTGCTACAAGGAGCCGGCTCGACAAGATCATTGGGAGCATTTAAATGGCATCTCCAGCGCAGTTCCGAACGGTGCCCAACGCGGGGCCCACGTCCTACGGGAAGTACCTCTACCTTTTTGGTCTTGCCCATGTGTACTTTTGCTCCCTCTTCCAGGTCATACGCGGATATCCTTGGCGTGATACACGCCCAAACTCCTGCCGTCCAGGTCCTCCAGTTCGTACGCGTTTCCGCCTATTGCCTTCACCACCCTGGCCTTCAGGAACTTCTTGGCGAACTTGGCATTAAACTGTTTCCCGAAGTCGCTGAGGACGAAGTTTCGGCGATATACCTCCTGACCTGGCCTTGCTGCAAACACTCTGGCTCTCTGATCGTAACGTCGACGACTGCGATCGTATGCGGATTCCAGACACTTTCGCACCTTCTCCTGTACCACTCGGAGCTTGTCGGCAGTCTGCATGCCTGCCAACTCGTGGTCACACAGCGACTGCAGCTTCCTGGCCAGTCGGTAGCTGGAACCATGCAGGAACATGTGGTGTCCGAAAAGTGTGAAAAACGGCGCTTCGCCCGTAGCCGAATGGACTGCGTTCCGGATGGCCACCTCGATCTCGGGAAGATAGGCATCCCAATCCCGATGGTCGTTCTCCAGGAACCCTCGGATAGCCGCCAGTACGCTCCGGTTCACCCGTTCCGCTGCGTTGCTCTGTGGAGAGTATATCGGAGTCTTCACGTGTCGGATCCCGAAGCTCTCCATGGACTCCTCGAAAATCCTCGACGTAAACTGTCGTCCATTGTCCGAGTGTACGATTTCTGGCACCCCGAACTTGTAGAAGACCTCATTGATGAGGAAATCCACGACGTTCGAGGCTGTCGCTTCCCTCATGGCCTTCAGGAATGTGTACTTCGAAAATGGTCCACCACGATAAAGACCCAGGCGTGTCCTTTCCTCGACCTCGGGTACTTGCCCAGGAAGTCGATGTACAACTTCTGGAATGGCCGCTCTGTCTGCACTCGCTCGCCGATCCCGACCATCATCCGGTGATTCGGTGCCTTCGATTCCTTACAGACCTGGCATCTTCGGACAAATTCCCGCACCTGCAGTACCATCCCAGGCCAGTAGAACTGCCGCCGAAGGATCTCCAGGGTTTTCCCCATTCCGCCGTGAGCAGCCTTTGGGTCTGAATGGGCTCGCTCAACCAGGCTGTGGGTCAGACTCTGCGGTATCCAGAGCTTCCATGTCGATCCGTCCACCTCGTCGTCCACAGTTGCTAGGGAGGTTCGCTTGAATATGAGTCCGTCCTCAATCCTAAGATCCGGTAAGTTCTCCTTGTTTTCCAGAATCTCTCGGACTAACTCCTTATATTCATCTCCAGCAAACTCGGTGGTCTCAAAACCCAGCAACTTGGTCGGGTCCACTGTGATCTCGTCCACGCATCGCGAAAGCATGTCTGCCACCACGTTCTCGCTGCCTTTCCGGTGTTCGATCTTAAAGTTGAAGCCCTGGAGCTGCAGAGACCACCTGGCCAGGCGTCCCGACAGATCCTTCATGGACATCAACCATTTTAGGCTGGCGTGATCGGTGATGCAGGTAAACAGCATGCCTTCTACATAGGGCCGGAACTTGCGGATCGCCAGGAGAGCAGCAAGACACTCTTTCTCGGTGACGGTGTAATTCACCTGGTACCTGTTCATCTTCGCCGAGAAGAAGGCAATCAGCTGCTCTTGGTCCTCCTCGTTCTTTTGGAACAGAACGGCCCCAACTCCGACGTGCGATGCGTCACACTGGATGTAGAAGTGTCGCTGGAAGTCCGCGTGCACCAGCACTGGTGCCGTGGTTAACGCCACCTTCAACGCTTCTACAGCCTGCCGCGCTTCCGGACTCAAAGAAAACTTGTTCCCAGTCTTCTTGAGGGATTCGGTTAGCGGCGCTGCCAGCGTCGCGAAGTTCCTGACGAAACGTCGATACCAGCCAGCGGTACCCAGGAACGCGCGCACCTCCTTCATCGACCTCGGCTCCGGCATCCTCCTGATTGCTGCCACTCGACCGGGATCCATGCTCAGACGACCTCCACCTACGACAAAACCTAAGTACGTCAAGGACTTGAAGCAGAATTTTGATTTTTTTTAGGCCGATGGTTAATCCTGCTTCTTTTAGCCATTCAGCGACCCGTCGTAGGTACCGGAAGTGCGTCTTTATGTCCGGGGCCAGTACGAGCAGATCGTCCAGGTATACGAACACATTGGATCGGATCTCGGCTGGGATTACTCTGTACATGAGTCTCACCAACCTCTGTGCCGCATTACAGAGACCGAACGGCATCACCCTGAACTGGTAGGGGGGCCGACCAGGCACCGTGAACGCCGTCAACTTCTTGCTTTTCTCGTCCAGTTCGATCTGCCAGAACGCGAATTTCAAATCCACACTGGAGATGAAGTGGGTTTGATCGATTCTGGACAGGATTCCATCGATACTAGGCAAGGGGTAAGCGTTCTTGACGGTCACGTCGTTCAGTTTCCTGGCGTCTAGGCAAAATCTATCCTTTCCAGGCTTCGACACAACTGTCGTCCGGTTGCTCCAAGGACTCTTGCTCTCCTCGATGACTTCCAGGGCTAGCATTTTGTCGACCTCGTCCTCAACCACCTTCTGCTTCGCCGGAGACATCGGATAGGGCCGGTCTTTAAAAACCTTCGCGCCTGCCACTAGCTCGATGGTGTGCTTTTCCAGTCCAGTGGTACCCAAGCCGTCCTTCTCGAAGATGAGAAACACCTTCTTAATATCTTCGAGCTCCCGGGTCTCGGCTTCGGATAGTGTCCAGGATTCCGGGTCCGCCTTCTCCTCGTCGACTTCCTCCTGGTCGACGTAATGTTCCATTTCCCTAGCGTGAATTTCCTCGGCCTTCACGCCCTGCACCGGGCAATTTCCCACTACAGCCGGGGCCAGTTCAAATGTTCGCCAAAAATCGACGCCGAGGTATGCTGCCTGCTCCAGGTACGGGCACAAATAGAAGAGGATATACTCTACCCTTCCTTTGTATTTTACAGGTACCTTGATCCGACCGATGATCGACCGATCTTCGCCAGCAGCTGTTCGTACCACCGAGAAATACCTCTGCACGGGGACACCCAACGCGTCCACCAGCTGCCTGCTGCCTTTTCCGAGCAGACTGACACTCGCTCCGGTGTCTAACAGCCCAGTCAGCTGCTGGCCTAAAATCGTTATTTGGGCGAAAGGCCTGGGATCGTGGGTGTCACCCCGCTTGACGGCCGCAACGACTTCTCTCCGCTTCTCCTGGCGTTTCTTAAAGCGATCTCGGGCCTTCAAGACAGTTCGGGATACCTTGCGCATACCGCTTATCTGGTGCTGCTCGAAAATCCGGTTTCTTACTTCTAAATACCGTCGCATGCGCTCTTCAGGGGGTAAATATCTTAACCTATCAGTATTATTACCCTTATTTAATATTTGTTTCTTTTCGGGCTCTTTTATTTGGCGGTGTTCCTCGCTGGGCGTGATCCTCCCGCCTTTGGATCGCGCAGCCATCCGTTTCCCGCACAATTCGGCCATTTCGGCGCAACAACGTCCACTTTTCCACAGCGGAAACAAAAAACCTCGGTCAGCTCCTTCTCGCAATCCCGGAAACCATGGTCCATGGCTCCACAATTCCAGCAGCCAGCCCGGAAAGGATTTCGAGGCCGTTCCCGGACTTCCTGCACTTGCAGTGGTTGCTCGTCTTCCTCCTCCTCCGGCTCTGAAGCAAACGCCTCGCTGACTCGGTTCCGTTCCGCTCCTTGGTAGCGCGTTGGTGGCAGGAATTGGGTCCGGCTTTTGCGTCCGAAACTACGCTCCACCTCAAGGCTCTCTTGCCGCAGCTCATCGACGGTGAGTAGCTCCATGGCATATACAAAGCGAGCAATTCCCTCTCTTAAACCCCTTTTCATCACCTTTACCAGGTGGCGCTCCGGCATTGGCTTCCTCAGGCGGGAAGCAAGGGTTGATGCATCCGTTAATGCTCCGTCTCATGGCTCTGGAAGCTATCGATCAGCGCTCGGCGCAGCTGATGCCAACTGTCCAGTCGGTGCTGCTGCACGTGGATCCAAAACCACTCCAACGCCCTGCCCGTCAGCAACGTGTGGAAGTTACGCATCACTTCGGCCCACGAGCAACGAGATTGCCTCTGGAGATACTCCAAGCGGAACAGGAAGCCTTCGATGTGGTTCCGCTCGTCCTCACCGCTAAATGAGATGTTCCACCTATCCACCCTGGTGCCATGGGAACTGTCTCCCGCGTTCCAGTTGACATACATCCGTTCGTCACGGAAATCGCCAGCTCGGCGGTCCTCGACACGCCAGTTTCGACCAACGCAGTCATCTCTACGCATTTCCTCAGTCTCGGTGGAACCGTCTGGACTGTTGGAAAAGCTCTCGGCTGGATCGGGTGCCCTCCGGGGTGGCTTCGGTGGGACTCGTGGAGTCGGCCGCGTCTCTTGCCAGGCAGCCGTCTGCCCTTGCTTGGGTATAGCTCCGCGAGCGTCGTATACAGCTTCCCTCGATCGTCCAAATGGCGGTGGCTGCTGCTGTTGACGGTGTTGTGGTCCTGCCGTCATCGGTTGCTGCTGTTGGCGGTGTTGTGGTCCTGCCGTCATCGGTTGCTGCTGTTGACGGTGTTGTGGTCCTGCCGTCATCGGTTGCTGCTCCGCGCTCCCTCCTGGAACGTGTTGCGGCTTTGTGGAGGGTCTCAGCACCTCGTTCATTAATTGCATCATTTCCAGAAAACCGGCCCGCATCTCGTCCCGCAAGCTCTGGCTAATCCCAGCTTCTTGGGACTTATGATACGTTTCTGCAGCCTGAGCCAGGGCAAGGTTCACCGCCGACTTGGCTGTGGAATCTACGGGCGGCTCCTGGGAATGTACCGAACGCTGAGCGGGATCCATCTCTACCAGATGTTCAGCTGCTGCCCCGATCGCATCGAAGTCTAGCTGTTTTGGATGGACATGCTCCTCCGGTGGCCGCTCCTGTCGCCGAGATGGGGGTGTCCTCTGCAATCCCATTGAGGCCCGCGGCGGCGCGAACCCGACAGCACCCTCCCCATCCGTGGACCACAACTCCTCTTCCTGGGCTGAAGGACCCTTCGACCTGAGCTGATAATTGTTTCCCTTGTTCCCTTCCATAATCCAATTTCATTAATTCCTAACAGCTAACGGTTTGATTCTTACTAAATAAATATCTCAACTTAAATAAATCCGCAGGCAACAAATAAATAATTCAGTAGGAAATTAATTTAATAAATAAATAGACAATTAAATAAATAAATAAATAGACAATTACATAAATAAATAAATAGACAATTAAATAAATAAATAAATAATAGAAATAAATAACCAGTCGGTAAGAAAATTATTTCTGCACTATCAACGATTAATTATTAATATTTTCTTTAATTTCAGGGGAGATGGCCGATCAACCGCCGGTGGACTCCGCACCAGATACTTGCGTCTTCAATTGTCCCGTGTCGTCCCTAATCCGGCCATTCGTTAACTGGGCTAACTTTCAGCTGGGCTGAAAGTCGCCAGTTAAGGACATGGGCCTTCAGCAGTATCCCGTAGGATATTTCTTGATGGCTGGGACTCCGAAGCTCTGATTGTGGTGGTCGTGCAGCGCGCAGTGAGACCTGCGGGTCACGACTTCACCAACAGGATGATACCAGGAAGCCCCTTCCACCAGGAAAACCCAAGGATCTGCACAAATTTACATTACATGGAAAACAAACATCTTTACGTTAAATTAAATAAACAACATTTATCACTTTCGCCTAAATTATCTCACAATTGTTCTAATCGCGTGCTTCATGCACGGATCTGTGGGCGAGGAATGCAAATCCGTCGTTTCCACGCCCGGATGTCATCCCCTTGCCACAGCAGAACCCTTGCGAATGTCTACAGGAGCAATTGCCCGTCCTTCTGCGGAGCAAGCCTCCCGTCTTTCTGTGAAAGAAAACAAAAAACAACACGTACGCCTGGGCCGCCAGTCCCCGGTCCTCGGTGCAATTGCAGGCCGTCAATATAGGCCATGCAAGCCACCGATTGCAGGGGCTGGATGCCCCGGGACGCGACCTTACGAGACATCGTCATTCCGCTAAACTCTTATTTGTTTTTTTTGTATTTGGGCGCCATATTGTTACGGAACTGCTTTCTTGGGCAACGCCGGGCTAGCTCAGGAGGCCCAGGGCTGGGTTCGACCCAATACCCGCAGTCCGCACAATAAAATATCGGACAATTCGGACTCTCATCACTGACAAAACTACCATCCCTAAACACAAAACAAAAGTAAACAAACGACAAATATACACTGACGACACTGCCGGAACAAATTGGTGGCATTGGTGTTATTGCCACAACGCACCCACCCATCCTGTGGTGCCTCCTGAGTATCTCGGGGCATCACCCATCTCCGGCGGACCGGAGCCTATTCCAGGCGGTCAGGCGACCGACCCATCTCCCCCAGGTATTGACTCTACTCCATTTTTATTTTTATTATTTATCTATACTATTATATAAAGAGGTAATGTAAGTTTGTTTGTATGATTTGAATAGGCTCCGAAAGTACTTGGCAGATTTGAAAAATTCTTTCACTGTTGGAAAGCTACATCATTCCTGAGTGTCATAGGCTATATTTCATTTAAAAAAAAATAGGCATCCTTACTAAAATTAAGATAACGTAATCCAAGGTGTTAAAAAAAAAAAACAAAAAACTACCTTACATCTACCGCCCTCTACAGGCAGCCAAAGCATTTCCTGTCAAACATTCAAAACATATTGAAATAAGGAATTGGAGATAAAAATTTTATTTTTTTGTTCAGGTTCAGTAAGAAACGAAGTCCTGCCACCCAAGAAGTAGAGTTTGGGTCGTCGTAATCGTAATACAGAAGCAAAAAGACGTAAGATTACGAATATAACTGACGAAGAACGGGCCTCCATCCGAGAGACTGAGCGGCTGAGAGCAATGCAGATGCACAAGGAAGAATCAGCAGAAAGACGAGCAGATAGGCTTGAGAGAAAACGATTAAGAGTTAGACAGTCGCGTTCTGCAGCAATCGATTTGATTCACTCTCAAAATAATGAACGCGACAGGGCAAGGGTAGCTGAAGCGCGTTTACAGCTTGCAGAAGATCAGATATAATCCAACTATTGATTACAGCTCGAATCGAATGTCGTTATTGGCCGGATGAATCAGGTCTGTCAGGCCTCTTAGATTGAATCAGACGAAACTTCGGTCCGAGGAATATATCCATTTGCGGGATGCTGTGATGAATGCTGCAACTCTCTTGAAGGATGGCAAAACTGCTCATTCTACTTTTAAACTTCCACTATCCGTCAATCTTGAATAACAATCTACATGTTCAATCCGCAAAAATGGACCAATTGGTAAATTACTACAAGACGCCTCATTGATTATGTGGGACGAATGCACGATGAGCCATAGAGCACATATAGAGGCCGTGAACAGAACCTTACAGGATCTAAGGAACTCCTCTGCAGTCATGGGCGGGATTACTTTTGTATTTGCTGAAGATTTTCGACAGACTCTACCCGTTATTAACAGAGGCACGCGAGCAGAAATCATCAAGGCATGCTTGAAATCGTCTCCCATATGGACTACGATTGAAACGTTAAAATTAAGGACAAATATGAGAGCTCATCTTCATGGAATCACTGATAGCGATTTCCCACAGCAACTGCTAAAACTTGGGGAAGGAATTTTTCCAACTCCAAATTTAAGCGGTCAATGTGACATTCTTCTGGATGAGTCTCTAGGCCAAATACTCGATAATTTGGAAAATTTAATAGATTCTGTATACCCTGATATCGAGAATTTGCACGAAAGAGACTTCCATTGGCTGTGTTCTCGGGCTATAGTATCACCTAAGAATGATACTGTCAATGAAATAAATAATCTGATTGTTCAAAAAGTCCCCGGCCAAACAAAAACATACAAATCGATCGACACTGTAACGAATATTGAAGATGCAGTCCATTATCCACAGGAATTTTTAAATTCGTTGAACCCTTCTGGACTGCCACCCCATGAATTGACGTTAAAAATCGGAATCCCAATTATGCTTTTAAGAAATTTAAACCCTCCGAGCATGTGTAATGGGACGAGGCTGCTTATTAAGGAGTTAAAGGACAATTTAATAGTAGCAAATATTATCACTGGCCCAGCAAGTGGTCAACTAGCTCATATACCGAGGATACCGATGATCCCAACTGATCTGCCAATCCCATTTAAACGGCTTCAATTTCCGGTAAAAACATCTTTCGCATTAACAATTAACAAGTCCCAAGGCCAAACCTTCGAATTAGTAGGCATCGATCTGCGAAATAAATGTCTTACTCATGGTCAACTGTATGTTGGTCTATCGCGAGTCGGAGCCCCTGAAAATCAATTTATTTTGCTGCCACAAAATAAAACAACATCAAATATTGTTTACAGAGAAGCACTAACTAAATAAATGTAATGAAACCATTATTTGAAAAAAAGGATGAATATGTGTCATATTATTATTATTATTATGAATGTGTTAAAATTGACTAATCTAAATGTAATATTTAATTCCCGTGCGAAGCAGGGACGGGCCGGCTAGTTTTATATAAACATTCCTTGTAATATTAATATTTCCCTTTCTAGGTGGTATACTCCACTCCCGGCGAGAGCGTGGCCCTAGCCATGGATGCGCTTGCGCCAAGGCTGCGCTGTTGGGGGACTTAAGAACTAGCGGAGGAGAAGCGCCTTAAACATTTGGCCTCAAACGGCCACAAAACAATTATTCCCTCTTTGGGGTCCCTAATCCCTGCTGGAGCTCCAATAGAAATGTAGGGACAGGGGTTCACGACAAAAAAAAACAAAAGGTCAAGGAAAAACAAGTACCGGCCTTCTTCCCCGTTCCCCCTTTGGTCACAGCTCCTGTGTTGCACCAATCCCGGACCCGGGATACGGCCAAGCGGAGAACAAAGACAACCTTACAAATACAAAGGCACAAAATACGAAATAACCTATCCTAACCTAATTTAAATTTAAATTTAAATTTAATCCTTTAACCCCGGTAGGGCCCTCCTCCCGGAACGGACTCACCGGATTAGCCCTTGGCGGCACGGGCGGTGCTAAGGCGGGGCACTGGCGGCGGCGCTGCGGCTCTCAGCTCGGACGGCGCTGAAGTGGTGTCACGGGCGGTGCTAAGGCGGGGCACTGGCGGCGGCACTGGGCAGCGCGGAGGCGGTGTCCACGGACCGCTGAACTGGCGACACTGACGGGGCTAAGGCGGCGGCGCGGCGGCTCTGGGCTCTCAGCTCGGGCGGCGGCACAGGGCGACGCGGAGGCGGTGTCCACGGAATGATACGCACGCACTCTCAGGCAGTCAACGGGTCAAGATTTTTTCTTCTTTTCCAAAAATAACCTCGCGCACGTTTTCTTCCCAATTTTTGACTCCTCGTTTTTTTCCTCCTGCACCTCCCTTTATTGCCTCCGTTCCCAATGCTCCACGCCGTTACTTTTTTTAATTCCTCCTTGCCCTTCCGAGAGAAAGGGTAAGAAACCTTTCTCTTAAGCCGCTTTCAAAGTTCCCGGTTCGCTCAGCTTCCTCCTCCCCCCTGAGACCACCGATCCTGCCTCTCACTATCGATACATC